AAATATAAATCATTTAATAGTAACGAGATGGTCCATATCAAGAGTATACAAAGACCAATCTCGTTGAAGGTTATTAGTAGCATTTTGATAGGCAAAATAATATCTTAACTGGGACCATTTGTTGGATTTGTACTAACCGACCGATTTGCCTTTTGTTTGTATATGTGTGTTACCTCGTAAGAAACATATTGTGTTCCTATTTTAAATTCTGTGTGTTTAATTACTTTGAATTAAAAAAACAAGAAGTTGTATTTCACACAGTAGTAATATATTGGAAAGTATGCATGCCAACAACAACAACAACGAAAAGTGTGTTTGGTAGACTTTTGACTCTAAATTATGTAAAAGGCGCTAACGACTAGTTATTATATAGTGGAACGATAATATTGCAAGAACGGTGCAAGATCATAAGTTTGTTCTATACTATTCTCGTTATTGTTCAAAATTTGAAAATGTTTTTCTTCTTTCTTTTAATATGTTGGTTGTAGAACAAATATGAAAGGTTTGATGATTCAGAACTACGTTTGGACAATTCATACTTCTTAATCTATTTAATAATAATAAGAACCAATGAAATTTAAATAATTATTATTCTGAATCGGCCAAACGAGCTGAATTACTTTTTATACATATATTTATATATTTAACGTATAAAATAACTAGAATTAACGTTCAATGTTTTTGAAAATATAGAGGTAGGGCGAATGTACCTTAAAGGCCGCGATGATTATTGATTAGTAGTTTGAATTTCCTTGTAAGAGAAATCAGTTACACATAATTTATGATAGTGAATTTAAAAAGTCATTATTTGGTCATTATACAGACAATAATTATTACACAAGAGAAATCAATTAGTAATAAGTCGATACTGAAAAAACAACACATTTTCGTATTCACTATTTGGTCACAATAAATTATGTTCAAGAATCAATCTTTTCTTGTGAACAAGTTTCTCTTCTGTATAGAAATTTGTTTCAGCTGGAAAAAAAAAAACTGGCTAAAATGTTCAATACGAAAAATCAAATCTTTGGTCTGACTTAATGATTTAGACAAAAATATTTCAACTTTTGTCTTTGTAAACCAAAATATTTTGGCTTAGTATAAACATTGTTTCTAAAGTCATAGTGGCAAATAAAACAACCAAAATCAGCATGATATGTATATGTACACATTAAGATGTAACAATTTCCAAAACTGACAAATAGTTTTACCTCTACATATGGTAAAAATTCCTATAGAAGACTGTTACTATTACCTTCTCTCAGACCTTGAAGACAAAGATGCAATGTTCTCTGAACACTATCCGCAACCAATTTGAGTTTGCCCTGAGTCAAATCTCCAGCAGCAGAACCGTTGACTTCCACTGTACGACTCACTCTCTGTTTGCATTTTTCCCAATCATCAACACGTTGCCAACAAGCTCGACCTCCATGGCTTCCTTCCATCCCAAGAAACGTCACGCTAGGGTTTTCCCCAAACGTATACCTCAACCTCACCGATACACAGTAAGGTAACCACGCCGCTCCTCCAGCTGCATTTATGTGGGGTATGTGCGCAGGATCAAGAACGACTGTCAACGCAAAGTCCACAGTGTTGTGAGGCCGGTCGTAATGGATGTTGCTTTTAGCTGCACAACTGTAGTCTACATCTGTTCCAGAATGATTCTCTAGGCATAGTTCGATACGAGGTCTCTGTGCAGGAGCAATCTCTCCAGCTTGTTGTGATTGCGATAATCCCTTCTTCCAAGCTATCAGTTTCAGAAACTCCCTCAAGACCGATATGGGTAATGTGAGGAG